CCAGAGTTGCTTACAGAACCAAAGCCAGTAAACCGGAGCAACCCAGATGTTATTTATTGTACCCTCTAACAAGCCACGCCATCTTTTTGTTTTTCTCTGATATCAGGTGAAGCAGGCTAGACACTGATACCAACAATGAGTCAATGACAGCGAAAATGAGGACATTTTACTTCCTTCATTGAGTCGTTCAGGACTATCATAGCAAGCTAACAGCAAATTGCATTTCCTCTGATGCCAGCAACATATTACTTTAATAAGTATAGTAAGTGCTCCCTACCATAAAACAATGAAGAGTGCTAACACCAGATATAACAATGTATTGCAGATTTGTAACTGGCAACAGGCAGTTAGTGAGATGGTGGGAACGTTTTTTTCTTGGAAAAATACTCTGCAGTAACCAAGTAGCACAGGATGTCATTCTTACACATTGCATCTTTAAACCCAAGCTGTTTAGTTTAAGAAAAGATTTGTTTTCTTACAGTTTTAGAAACAACCAATAACGTCCTTTTCTTCATCTCTAAAGCCTGGTTCATGCTTCTCCGTCAGCTCTGCAAGGGACAGACACGCACGGATTGACGGAAGCGTTTTGCTCTCATACTTCTCCGTCTCATGGAGAGTGTTGCAAAGCAATTCCCCGGCAGGACCACAGAGGGCGGAGCGCTGTTCTGTGGTATCCTGTCATGTATCGGTCCAAGATAGTGTGTTTATATTGTGTTTTTGTATATAAGAGACTTTTTAACACAGACAAATTTGTCTCTCATTCTCCTCCACCTCTTCATGCGCTCGCCACCTCTAAACCCACGTTTCCTGTCATTTCCGTCCACAAATAAAACGCTTTCTGCACATCTTTTCACTCCTCCAGTCACGGGAGAATTAAATGTTCATGTTTGTAAGAGTTTTTTCGCGAGGTATTCTTCAAGCTGCTCCGTGTCTGCCGCTTGTTATCCTCGGCTCTCTTTATGTTTTTGAGGGCGCAATGGCGGCGCTGTAGACGACAGCAGCGTCCTGACCAATCACAAGCTTGCGTTGTCCGTCTCGACTGACGGATGTTTAGAAAAGAGAACTCGACTCCGTCCGTCCTTGCGGAGCTCTCCGGCAGGCCCGCAAGGACGTTGCGTTTCTCCGCACTGACGCAGACGGAGAAGCATGAATCAGGCTTAAGACCTACGCACAATATTGAGCAGATCCTCTTTAACTCCTCTGAAACCATATAGAATAGAATAGAATAGAATAGAATAGAATAGAAAAGAATAGAATAGACCTTATTGATCCCACAGTGGGGAAATTAACTCGTTAAGGCAAAACATACTCTCTGGGAATAGAAAAAACATAATATAGTTAAATACACAAAGGCAGTAGGCTTTTATTGTAATCTTCAATAACTTCAACCTAGAGGTCATGATAAACAAATATGACAATTACTCAATTTAAAACCTGCACTTTTTGCACTTTATCAGGTTTGTCATAAATCATTTAGTTAGCATATTTATTGACATGTATTAATTACTGCTTTCATGGTCTTTAAATATCTTTTAAGATCAAAAATTCCTGGTTAGCATTCTAAGAATCTCTTAGCTTAAACGTCTTGTAGTTTGTGTGCGCTGGGATGGATAAATGCATCTGTCAAGCTTTTCCCAAACATTCCTTTGGTAAAATGTTCCAGTGAACCGCTAATATGATCAAATTAAACTGGTAAGAAAGAAAAAATACTGCTTACTGATATTATGTAAGAGACTTGTTCTGCTTGCCATGGTCACAAATTTATTTTGTCCAGAAGGTAGCAATCTTTATGGGTACCACTGACACCAACTCCGGCCTCTCGTGGTTCTGGGAAAAAGCTGTGTGGTTTTGAGAAAGTTCAACCTTTCTCCCCTGCATAGCTTAAAATAACAGTACTCCAACTTTCTGGGTTAGAGTCAAGGGTTGCAAGTCGGGATCGTTGTCTGATATACAGTCTGTCTCCATCGTGCGTCAAAGTGTTTGTTTTGAATTTCACAGCCATCAATCTCTAAAAGTTAAACCTGAAGAAATGGGAGTTGGCGTTAGTGTGGGGGGTGGGTGTTTATGTTTTTGGTGCGTTCAATAATGATATTTTGTCTGGTTGAACTGGGATAGTTCCCAGACATCCCAACGCAGACACAAAATCATACACAAGTCTTTACATAAACTTTCTCAGGGGATATTTCAAGGACAACATCTGTGAAGTTGAACAATCAGTGGGCTCAGATTGAAATACCTCTTAAGGAGCCTGAACCAGGAAGCTGAAATGTTTATTTTGGAAATGGGTCTCCTGCTTCATCATAAACAATAAAACTCAAAAATGCTCTTTTCCTCTCCCTCGTGGTGCCAGGATCTGCATTCCTGTTCCAGAATTGTACCTTGCTATTGTTGTATCAACTGTGCCAAGTTGTTTTTTGTAATGACCCCAAGATTAGAATCATCTTATTTATTTTTTTGTACTTATGAACAACTTAACCGCCCTTACTCAGAGCTTTTGTTGGGAAGTCAATTTCAGTCATTCTGAGAGCCTCGTAAGTCTTCTGAGGCAGGTCCAATTCATGAGTCAGATAAGAAACATTAACAGCAAGTATAGACGAGTTAAAAGCCAAGTTCGTGTTAACAAAATATGTTCAGTCATTGCCCATGTTGCTTTAATGACAGAACATTCATGGTTGTAGTTGGCATTATCTTTGAGCTCATTACTCTAAAGAACAACTAATTCCACATCTATTGTCACCATGGTGCTCAAGGGCGAAGGGGTGTGTCATGTTGCGGGTGTAGGAGTTGATGGACCTTGTGTGGTGGAGCAGGTCAGGAGGTACAGATGCAGGCTTCAGATAGAGTAAAATGGTTTCAATGGTGGGACGGGAACGAACAGCACAAGACAACGATGACAAACAACCACAATGACCTGACAAAGACTGATACAAGGAGGGAGGTATAAATACACAGGGCAAATGAGGAACACGTGGGCAGGTAAACAAGGGGCAGGTGAAAACAATAAGGACTAATCAAGGGCAGGAGAGAGACAGTCAGGGAGGCAGGGGCAGACCGTGACAGGGCGAGTTGAACAGAAATTTCATGGTAAGTCTTCCATCCATCCTCCAAACATTCGTTCAACATCCATCCATCATTTTAATTTTCTTCCACTTATCCAACGTCAGGGTTAACTGGTGCGAAAGGAAAACTTCCTAGCAAAACTCTTCAGCTCCTCCTGAGGGATTCCAAGGCTTTCCTCAGTCAGAGAGGATATACCGTTCTTCCAGCTAGTTCTTGATTTGCCCTGGGATCGTTTCCCATAAGACATGGCTGGAAAACTTCCAATGGGAAGCAACAAGGAAGCATCATAATCAGATGTTCGAACCACCTCACTATAATCTTTTATGATGAGGAGGAGTCCGACTTTGCCAGAATCTGCTGCTTTACTCCAAGCTCCAACACCAAGCTGAGCCTGGTGTCCTGACTGAAGAAGTTCATTGCAGCTGCTTCTGGCAGGAGCCTCATTCTTTAGGTCAAGATCCCAAACTGATGCCTACAGGTGAGGGTCAGCTTGTACATTGGCTACCAGATCAATAGCTTTCTCTATCAGCCCATTTCTTGAACCATCACAGGATTACTTAGGAACTTATACAGTTGTCTATGAAAGCAAAGACTCAGTCCCAACCTGGAAGGCACATTCCACCCTTTTCCATTTTGAAACCATTTTCCCAGACTTGGGGGATTCAGTCTAATATAAAAGTTGTTTATTTACACAAAGCCAAGAAGGTCAATAAAGTAAGATTTCTGTTATTATAAATTCAATCTACGATCAGTATGAAAACACTTTTCAATGATCTCAGGTAAGACAAGCCAGAAGGCATCCAAAGAACATCCAAATGAAGTAAACCGAGACATATGTCGCTCGAGACGTGTCTTAGTCTTTAAGCAGTCAGAATAAGTCATGACAAGTCTGTATTCAATTAATACAAGTCAACTTTAGGTCGTTGCACCTTTCAATCAAGACGGGTCAAGAAAGTCTCACAACCTAGTCAACCTAGTTAAGGATTTGAAATCTAGTAGGTACCGAGGAAGTTTCTAGTGAGTGCAGACAGCTAGGAGAGATCCCAAGTGAAAACTAATCAAACAAAATTCTTATCAGTCTGGTCAATGAGATTAGTTGAAATTAGCTGAGGTGTGAACATGTTTCAAGTAGAAAATGTGTACGTCTTTTGCTTTTGTAATCTTTCTTTTTCAGCATTTGGCTGGTATTTTCTCAATTACAGATCAGATTCTTAAATGTTTTTCTCTTCAAGTGTTTCGTTTAGTCAGTAGCTAACAGCAGCCAGATTTAGAGCAAACCTCGTAATTCTAACCTCAATTTGATCCAGACTTCCATCACAAGTCAGCAGCTTTCTCCATTTTCTGCACAATTCCTTTTTATCCTCCAGCAGCTTTCCCAACTGTGTGTGTTATTTTAAAAGAAATGAAGTCCTTCCAGACCCCAAGAATGGTGCATTTATATCTGTCTGGTCTTTTTTTTCTCTCTCTCTGCTTTCTTTGTCTTTTTTTTTTCATCTCACATTGGCACTTTATCTGCGGGGGGTATGGTTGAATCTGGCTAACATGTGAGATCGGAAGTCTGTAGGGGGAAATTGGTGAATATCTTGGGAGACGCTGGAATTCCTGGCGTTGGATCAAACCTATTGTGTATATGTGTGATGAGTTTTTAATGGCGGTGTTGTAAGAGTCCAAACAACTTGTACGGAAGCTGTTACCACATAATCCAGCAGGAACCGCTCATTTGGGTCCTGATCTTCCAAGACACTCAGCTGGAATGTCGTGCTTGTGATCTTAGCTGGAGCAAATCATATTTAGACTAAAGATGTTCAGGGCTGTTGCCCAAGTGGTCGTGTAGAAATCCTAAAATAGGTCAAAATTGTAAAATGATCTCAATTAGCAGGAATAATTTTATTTTCTAAGGTTGCTTTCCTCACCCGACTCTCCCCCTCTCGCCCACACAGACGCAGCGTTCCTCTCATCAGGCCTCACTCCTGGCACTTGGCGAAGCTGTCGGAGCCCCTCTCACCACCACCACCTCCTCCTCCCCCCTCCCCACCACCCCTACCTCCCCGCCTGCCCCCCGCAGACTCCCCTCCACTGCCCCCTCCCCCTCCTCCCCCTCTGTCTGCCATGCAGCTCCACTCCGGCCCCTACACACTACCCTGGCACTCAACCGACAACAGGTGAGGCAGCAGCACAGTGGCACTGGTCGTGTGGAGCAAGTGTGTGTTGAGATTTATTTAGTAAAGCAGAGAATTCAACCCTTAAGGCCCCATCTACTTTTAGATCATTTTGCATTTAAAAGCATAATCTTAGATTCTTACAGAAACCACCAAGATTCAATGACACATCAAAATACAAAGGAAAACTCTGCATGACTAAAAATGATCTCACTAGCGGTTCTAAATTATTTTGTCGTTTTCTGTTTCTTCTCAGTTGTAACTTTGTCAGCATATGATCAGTTATTAAATAACTTCAAGATGTAACATATCGCTGTTTTATAAATTAAGATTCAGAAATTTATATTTTTGTCTAATTAAGGATCAACAAGTAAATTACATTTATTATCTTATGTCTTCTTCAGTTTTTGGAACTAATTTGGTTAAATGAAAGTGAAATAACTAAATAAATTAACCAAAGCGTGAAATTTCTTTAATTTGATTTATTTTCATTTATTTAAATTTTTTATAAAATTGTAACATTTGAGAAGCTGAAAAAAGAATTTCATGAATTAAAGTTGATTAAGAATTTGTATGTTTCATTAATTTATTATGTTATATTTTTCTTTTCTGAAATACAATAATTGTTACATTTGACAGCATCTGACAACATCATTTATAAGAGGTGGAGATTGCAGAGCTGTACCAATGTAACCAAACCCAAGTAAAATATTGTTAATGGTAAAAGCAAAATCATCCGTAGCCACAGTAGACAACAGGATGTGGCTTTAACACCTGCTAGGACTTTATTTTTATCCTGTTTTTTTTTAACATGTTTAGAAGCCGAGTTGCTAGAATTGCATATGGCAATATGTTTCTGTTTGAGTTGCGTCCTAATTTCAGCTCTTGAAAGCATTTTATTTTTACTTAAAGTTAAAGTCCCATTAGTTGTCACACACACACTGATGTGTGTGCGAAATTTTTTCTCCGCATTTGACCCATGCCATGGGGGAGCGGTGAGCTGCATACACAGCCGCGCTCGGGAACCATTTGGTGGTTTAACCCCCCAATCCAACCCCTTAATGCTGAGTGTCAAGCAGGGAGGCACTGGGTCCCATTTTTTCAAAGTCTTTGGTATGACCCGACCAGGAATCGAACCCCTGATCTCCCAGTCTCAGGGCGGCCACTCTACCACTAGACCACTGAGCTATATATTGTATAAAAAGCCAAAAGTGGAAGCAATTTAACACCGAGCATGCCATCCTGTCAGACTGAGTCACTCTGTGTGATCCTGTGGCCCTATAGGATAGATCTGAGTCAGTGGGGGGATTTTTCTCCTCACAGTGACTTCATGGCAAGGCCCAGAAAAACCAACAATCACCAGGAAACGGGTGACATCACTGTTTTAATGTCAACATGGCCCACGCAGGAAGCACACAACTATATTTGGCTTCTTTTTAAACATTCCCAAGTGATAAGATTCCTTTGGTGACGAGATTTGGGGAAAATGTTTATTGTTTTCTTGTTGTTCTAAATCGCTTGAAACGACTCCATATGGGTGACTAACACTGTCTGTAGTACAGTCACATATCCCAAATGCTTTAGCACACAAGAAAACGTATTCTATTTGATCTGTTGCTGGTTAAAGTTTAAGTTGTGTAAAGTTGGTTTCTTTGGGCGATAAATAAAAAATGTATCATTATCGAAATTTCTGACTAACATCATTTTTCCCATGCCAATAAGTTCAATAATAAAAAGAAAAAGATTTGTGTAGGTTGGCGACAATTGTGTCGCCTTAAGAAGCTCTACCACCTTGAGTCACATCACAACTAGCCCTTCTACAAGACACTGTGCCAACAAATCGGCATAATATTAACGCAACGGTGTGTCTTATAAACGCGCAATGCCGGCATGGCGTTGGGCCAATTTCACTGCAATTCGTTCCGCCCTCGCTAGGTAGAAATATTGCTTTAATTGTCTGTCTTGTAAACGGCCATTGCACCGTGGTGTAACAGAGAGAGGTTTCATGATCACATGGGTTAATGCCGAGCTCCGGACGGCAACTATATTGAAAATGAAAGTAAACACGGGCTGTAAGTTTAGCTTTTTGAACAGAACCAGCTGAGATGGCAAATTGGAGCGCTGCAGCACTCTCTGTTAGAGCTGGAGGTCAGATCATCAGACTGAGGAGGACAAACACCTTTAGGAGCGACTTGTTAAAAAAACTTATTGAGCGCGGCTTCAATCGCAATAAAAAGCAAGTTATGTCCAAGATAAAGAGAAGTCCGCGGCATCCCAGGGACCGCCCCATACCCCCTTCATGCCGCCATCGCCTCATCTTTTATAAAAAGGACACGATTGCACCACATTACAACCACGGTCCGATCACCTATAAACAACCTAAGGCTCCCTGATGCCACAGTGTAGTGGCAAATTAACAACATTGTTTTGTAAAAAAAAAAATTAACGGGACTTAACCAAATATTTGTGACAGCTCCATCTAGTGGACAACTTTTGTTTCTGCGCATACCTGTAGTTATCAGAATTCAAATCAGCTTTTGTCAGTGCTCCAGCCTCCCAAAGCACAGAAATCCGACTCCGCAGTACAGCCTGACCATACAGGCAGACCACGAGAGCTGCCATTCGAGGCACTCAAGTTATCGTCTATTTATCATTATTAAGGTGAAATCCTCAATCTATCATGATTGATGTTTTAAGCCATATGGCCAACCCTAATTTCAAATAATATCTGTTAGATAGCAGTTTGAAAAACCTCAGTTTGTTGAAATGCAGAATAGTGAGATTATAGAATTATAAGCTAACAGCTTGACCAGGAATTTCAGCATCTTAAAACAACTCTAGTCTCCAAGTTTTACAGCATTTCATACAAACACTAATTCATGGACCTTTGAAGCTGAAATGCTCTGATTCTGAATTTAGGAACTGAAACTGATTCTAGTTCTTGTGCTGCTTTGATGTGCCAACACCAACTGATTTCAGTTTATTTCTCTTTAACAAAAATTGTGAAAATGGAAGCAAATATTTTCATACAGAAGGTTTATTGTTGCTAACATAAATTAGCACTTAGTAAAATTAAGTTCACAGATCAGAGAAAAAAAATGTCAGATTTTTAATGGTGTTTGGGAATGGTGCATTCACTGTACCCCCAAAAGAATCTGACTTTTAGATTTTGCACAGGCCAATTCCACCCCCATCAGCAGCCAGTCTACTCTGCAACACCCCAGTTTTACATCACACAGTTATTTTATTACATGCTACACAGGAAGTGCTACCATTAACTAGCTCTGCAGCTACATTTCTAATTAAAAAATCCACCAGAATCAAATGTAAACAAATTTCATGTGATAATAAACAAATTGTAAAGACTTAAATAAACAGGCTTAACTTGAACTTGCTGCTTTAGTCTTGGACTAGCAGTTAGCTTGTCAATCTGGTCAGGGTTTATCAAAATTTCTCTAAACGAAGCACTTTACAACCCACTTTGAAAAGTTTTTCGTCTTTAAAAGCACCAGTTGGTTTTTCTGCTAAAACTAGAATTAAAAAGGTTGGCAGAGAAGCTAAATAGTTCATATTTATTAATATTTAGATATTTGGTCACTCATTGTATTGTCAGTGTGGCCCAGCAGAGACAAAGGACCGAATCGCCCAGTCAGGTTGAACAAACAGAAGCTATGAGCCTTTAAGTTCCTGCATGACCTCATCGAGGTAAAACTAAATCTGTTACAGAGAAAGAGGAAGTCTGCTCCGTCTGCTTATTGACTCACAATAAAAATCTGTCCTTGTTTGTCGTCTGCATCAGACCAACGTCACTGATAAAAACCAGTGATAGAATGCTGCTAGATTTAATAGTCCCTCGAGGAGTAGATAGAAGTAAGTGTGTGTGTTTTGGTCTTTCATTCCCACAGTTCCTCCTGCTTAATCAGACACACACACACTGCATCTGAAGAGGAGGTAGCTCCTGGCATAACCCTGGACAATGGCATGTGACTCCCAGCACATGTAGACAAAGAGAGGAAGACAGTCAGTAAACTCTGAAGACGGAGGACATTTTGTTCACTTAGAATGTGTTTGTGTTGGTTTTTACACTACAGAAGTGTGTTCTCATCTAATCATTCACACAATACGAGGGTAAAGGAAGGACGATTACACGTTTTCTCGGTATTGGTCGGTTTAATAAAAGTCCAGCATGAATCCAGCGATCTCTCCGTCCTCGTGGCGGGTTTATGTTGGTGTGTCACCATCAACTCTCACATGTTGCTGTGTGATTGGGCTGGAGTGACAGTCATTTCCTGTCCAGCTCCTGTTTTTATTTCCTACTTTATGCTCCCAGTCAGCCAGGTCAGATTTATACTGGAGCCTCCCCACGCTCATTCATTGCTCACTTCCTTTATGAGGAAAAAAAAGGGTTCCCATGCAGATAAGGACGCTCTCTTTCCCACTAGTTGGGATATATTTTGCGTTGTCTTTGCCTTTTTTTTTTTTTACATACTTTGTAAATTTATGATTTATTTTTATTAATATTTTCCTCATGGAGTTGAGAAACCAGAGATGCTGATTGTTGGTCAAAATAAAAGTGTCAAATAATGCCTAAGAACTAGGCGGGTATTTGTTATACACTTCATATCTCTGGCTAATTTCAGGAATATTACTGTATGGCTCCATATTAAATAGTTCTTTAACCCTCCCACTGTCCTAATGGGTGTGACCCCGCGAGGAAAGTTGACCATTGAGCAGGGTTGATGGTTTATCCCTTGAGTCAATGTGGCAGGGGTGAGGTGGTGCTCAATCCTCACCCCTGCCACGTGGACCTCAAGGGATAAACCATCAATCCTGCTCAATGGTCAACTTTCCTCGCAGGGTCACACCCATTAGGACAGTGGGAGGGTTAAAATATAAATTCACAAATCTGGATTTAGCCAAATTAAAATCAAATTAGCAGCAAGAAAACACAGCTAAACTTTAACAGTAAAGTCCCATTAGTCTTCATGACACGCTGGTAAAATTAGATGTCAGCATTTGACCCATCCCTGTGGGGAGTGGGGAGCTTCAGTAGTGGCTGCGCTCTGGAACTGTTGGTCGTTTAACCCCCCACTCTAACCCCCTTAAAGCTGAGTGTCATGCAGGGAGGCCTTGGGTCCCATTTTTAAAGTCGACCAGGATTTGAACCCCAATTTCCCAATCCCAGGGTGGACACTCTACCACTAGGCCACTCAGAAAGTATCAAGGAAGAGTCCCATCTGCTTGTTTCCCATCAGGTTTGAGGTTCTGGAAGGAAGAGCTGGTAACCATAAATATGACAGACAGCCTGGAGGTAGTCTCTAGATTAGTGAGATCCACACCGCTGTCTCCGGTTACCTTCTCCTCCGCTCTCTGAAAACGTTCCTCTTTGTTTGAATTAGACACACGTTCCTCTTTGTTTGAATTAGACACTGAATGGATGTAAAGGGTGAGTGACCGCTCCTTCCTCTTTACTGGGAAAAGAAATACTACAATGGCCAGCAGATTTTGTGGGAGGCCTCAACAGGTTGAAAATTAACTGAGCTCAAGAACATGGTGTGCCCCCAACTCTCTCCTGATTAACCCTATGATACAGGATATGTCAAATGTACTTTTCTGTCCCACAGTCCCAGGCCGTCCTTTTATACTTCTTTGTTTTTATGGCTGCTCTACTTTCTATCAATGAGTTTTATTTGTTTTAAGTCCCTTTTTCCTTTAAGTTGCATGAATCCAGGGTCTTTTAGCTAATAAAAATGTGAAAATACAATTAAACAGAGGAATGAAACTTTATTTACAATCAAGTATCATTGATAGTTAATGCATTGCTCTTCTATTTTTTATTTTAATTTCACTGGAAGATGATCCCGGAGGTCAGGTGTACTACGTCCTCGGGTGTACGACTGACTGGAAACTGTTTGTTGTTTGTTGTTGTTGTTAGCCTCAAGGGCAACATGCCGATTATCACTTGTAAGTCGCTTTGGACAAAAGTGTCTGCTTAATACATAAACTATGTTAAACGAAGTTTACTTTAACTTTAATGGTAGCCGTCACACTTGACTGTTTTTCTAATCTTTTTTATGTTTAATCAGTTTAGGTTGGGAATAGGAATAGTAGACCAATTTCATGCCCTGGGGTCACAAAGTGATGGTTAAAGCAAATCTATAAAACAAGCTAGATTTGCACTGTTTTTCAAGCCTCTTAACAACATTCTAACATAGTATAGCCTTATATTTATTGTGGAGGTAAAAATAAATAAAATAACAAAGTGGTTCTCTCATTTGTTCAACAACCTAAAACAGCTACACAATGAGGTCTGAAACCAGCTATTGGACCATCTGGTTGGTGGTCTCGCCAAACCGCACTTCCCTGAGTCCTCCACTCATTACACGCTCACAAATTCAGCAACAGAACACCACTGGTGTGAGAGGTTCTGAGGAGGAGAAACAGCTGGCTGCTACCACTTCAACCTTAGGACAAACTGTCAGAGTCCCAAACAGAAAAACACCATTTGAAGTCACGGACAACTAAAAGGACATTTGGACTTAAAAAGTGATGACTGGTGTTTAACGCTATCTCGTTTCCTCTGGCAATGCAGATACTGGTATCAGGCAGACATTGCCCAGGGATGACACCAGATGGAAATACTGAATGGCCTGTATTTGTATAGCATCTTCTTAGGGTTTTACAACCCCCCAAGGCGCTTTACAACACAATCATTCACCCATTCACACACACATTCACATGCTGGTGGTGGTGAGCTACGATGTAGTCACAGCTGCCCTGTGGTGCACTGACAGAGGCGATTCTGCCAAACACAGGCGCCACCGGTCCCTCTGACCATCACCAGCAGGCAAGGGGGGTTAAGTGTCTTGCCCAAGGACACAAGAGCAGCCGGAATCGAACCTTCTACCCCCTGAGCTACTCCTGGGGGGGAGTGAGAAATCTGTGACCATGTTTGTGTTTAAAAGCTAGCTTGTTTTGCAGATTAAGCATCAATCATTCTTGGCCAGTGTTGCGTCTTCTGACTATCTGGATTTTGGACGTTCTGGGGACTACTTAAGAGCGTTTGAAAAAAACCTTGCGTTATTTTTTTATTTCAAATCAAAAGTATAACCCGACCTGGTTCCTTTGTAGTTTGTCCCAAGCAATATGATACTTAACAAACTTGCATAAAGCAAAAAGAAATCTACTTCTTCATCAGATGTTTTAGTAGCCTTCAGCTTTCTGGAATGAATGGACATTTGATGTTAGAGGAAATGAGACTGGAAGAATCTAAGAGCAGAAGAAAGGGGTGGCTGAGAAAGGTGGAAGGAGGATGGGAGGAATCAAGGGATTGCTTTAAGATTGTGACTTGTGGCAGTGGAACTTGATGAGGAGGAAATCCTTCTCCACCTAAAGAGGTTTCCTCCATGAGGCTTTAGGAACACATGGGGCAGCTGTAGAGCTTTGGATCAGCGCTAACAGGAAACAGATTCCCCAGCTGGGCATGCAAAATGTTAAATCCAAGAAATATACATAATGTGTGTTTTAAATTTAAAGATAGATTTCTTATTGTAGTTATTGAAAGCATCAAACTTTTTATTCCCAGTCAAGAATTAACACCATATTAATCCACAAATTTAATTCAAGCACTGCTTAGATGTTTTAAAAACTGAATACTTTTATCGTTTAAGTTACCTTTTCCCATTTAACATGGTTGCAAACCACTCTTCTGAAGAAACAATGCTCAGAATTCTCGTAAATGTTCAATTAAATTGCTTTTTTATCAAATGGAATGTCCTAAATCGATAGATTTAGAAGGACCTCGTTGATTGTCTTTGTCTTCTTTACAGTGACTTGTCCATGCAGTGGGCCCAGGTGCCCAGACCATACTCCTCTACTGAACGAAGCAGCTCTCTGGGCTCTATGGAGAGCTTGGACACACCAACCACAACTACACAGCCATACTCCGACTCCCACAATTCACCTGTGGACGCCATCTTTAACAACAAGCGAGACTCTGCCTACAGCTCCTTCTCTGCCAGTTCAAACACTTCTGACTATGCCACTGTGCCGCTAAGGCCTGGTGAAGCATGCTCCATGGATAATCTCCTCCAAAGCCTTGGACCAACTTGTCAGGGGTACCCAGGTGACCACGCAGCCCCGAAGACGTCATCTGATGAAGCCTCAGATGATGCACAACTCCTTGCACATAAGTCTAGGTCATTGACCAGGCCTAAACCAAGGCCCATTGAGGTAAAAGAGAGACCTTTGTCTTGTTGTTACGACCAGGATCACAGGGGAGAAGACTTTGAGGGTGTTAGAAATGGAGACGTTCGAAAAGAAAGGAGTAGCCCCCCTCAGCCGCCAACTAGGAAAGACAGTTTTAGGGCAACCCAAAGTCGCCCAGATACCGTCAACAAACGTTGCACCTCAGCACCTGCTGAAGACAGCAGTTCATATTACAAAGAAAACAACTCCAGTCTGAAAGCTGAACCTTTAATACAAAATGGGTTTCCTTCAGGAAAAGATGGCCAATCTGAGGCCTTAAAAATAGACTCAATAGACTCACACTTTGTCCAAATACAGACTGGGGAATTTAGACCTCAATGTGACAGCAGCAATCAAACAGACTACGTTTCCGAAACCACATCAGTAGACCTCCTTGACTCAGCAGCAAACTCTAAAGACCTGATAACTTCTCCGGGTCCAGCTGCATCAGCTGAATCAATCCTTGAAGTTTCGTCCAAGCACTACTCTGCTGGGCTACACCATAACAGTGCCCCAGAGAAGCTTCTCGCTACGCAACTTCAGTTACTGCAGTTCAACAATAACAACTCTTCTTTAGAGCCTTACAACTCATCAGACCCTTCTGATCCATCCTTGTCTTCCTGTAGCAACCAGTGGTCCCATTCTTCATCCCTCCACCCTTCCACGGAAGCTTTTCATAACCATCAGCCTCTATCAAATAAATGGGAAGGTAGTCGATGCTCAACCCCGGGGTCTGTGTTTTTGGAAGGAGAGGTGGAAGGTGGTGCTTTAAGTGAGAAGTTTGAGAGAAATGTTAATGGGAAGTCCCTTTCACCAGTTCACCATCACACACCTTGGCGTCGCTCTGTTAGCGTACCAGCAGTACACACAGAATCGTCACCCCAGGAAAGACTAGGCTCTGATCAGATTGTGGAGAATGATTTCCAACCTCTTAGTGCTGCTGTCAGTGTTGATACCTTACTTGGGGAGCAACTAGTTGTGGAAAAGGGAAGAAACCGAGAAAATAAAGAGGAAGTTGTAGAAAGAGAGGAAAACAGGAAATCAAACCCTTCTAAAACCTTCAGGCGGAACCGCCGGCGCAGTGAGCGTTTTGCCACCAACCTTAGGAATGAGATTCAAAGGAAAAAAGCCCAGCTTCAGCGCAGTCATGGCCCAGGAGGGTTGCTTTGCAGTAGAGAAACCGTCCAAGAAGAGGAGGGTTCAGACCACTGTGAAGAAGGGGACTCTATCCTCCCTGTCCAGAAAAAATGTGCCAAAGTTGCCTTTGCCTCACCAGCAGGCTCTGAAGATTCCCAGACCGTACCACAAGTCAGAACATCAAACTCCAGTGAGTCAAACATGGATGTCCTGCAGACTCGGTCCACAGCCTACACTCAGAACAGCGACCGATCCAGATCTGTTCAGATTCTGGACCCAGGCATTCCCAGTTTTGGTGTTGGAATCAGAGTTGTAGAGGAACCGGCTCCTGCTGGCAAGGCCCGCCGCTGGCGATGGACCCCAGAGCACAAACTCCAGCCAGAACCAGACGTAGACCAACGGTTTGGCGTCTCAGGTGAAAAGATGTTAGGGGTCATGGAATCACGTCATGGAGTTTGTGCCTTCACATCTTCGTCCAACTCCCCCTACAGTCGTTCATCTTCTAGTTCCCGAAAGGAGGAGTCAGACATCCTTCCATTTGCAGATCGAATGAAGTTTTTCGAGGCGACTTCCAAAGGCATATCTGTTTCAGATGCCTCGACATTATCTCATCACAGACATAAAACTCCTGATCATTATCCAGAGCACCAGACGAGTGAGCTTGGTCAAGTTTCCACTCAGAGGAGATACTCCTACAAGGGTGGACTGCAACAAGATAGTGTTCAGCTTCCACACACTTTGGAGGCCCAGAGGCAGTCAGTGAGTACCACCAAAGAGACGGAGAAAGAGATGGAGCGAGAACAATTTAGAGAAAGGGATGAGAGAGAAGAGAGGATGAGAGAGATGGAACGAAAGCAGGAGACAGAGAGGCAAGAGCAGAAGTTAGAAATGGAGCGTGCACGACAGAGGGAGATTCAAAGGGAGATGGAGCGAGGGGAGAGGGAAAGAGAGAGGGAGCTTGAAAGAGAGAGGAAAAGGGAGGAAAATGTTCAGGTTACCAAACATTTACCCCAATGTTACAATAACCTTGGCATCAGAGAACAAGGCGAAGACTTCCAACATCAAGATCATGTCCACAACTTTTGCCATCCCAAGCCGCCGACGTTCCCTCTTGGCCAATCTCCGAATCAAATCCCTCGATCTGCGTTTTATCCAGTAAGCCATCATAAACAGCCCCTGGAGATCCAGCAGTCTCAGGAATACACAGCAAGGAGCTACACACCCACAGAGGTAAGGCCCTATTTTGATTGGATGAGAAATAAACTGCTGTTTCATAACCTTTATCCAAATTACGATTTTGACAGAGATTGCTTTGACATTTTCCTGGTCTAAGTGTCCTTTACAGTATATATATTTGACTCAAAGAAGACTATTATGTCTGTTTTCTAAAAACATACATTTAATGAGCTGATGGGGAAATAACTGGTCATTCAGAATTATTTCAACGAGGCGGGTCATTGGTTTGTAGGTAGGGATTGCATCTCAGTGCCATGGCTAGACCATTGGTCAGAGGAACACACATGCACTTTATTTCTTGTTTTCATAAATATATTTACACGTCAGCCTTTTGGCCCTCAAACATATTTATATAGACCACTGAACTATTATACTTGTTTATGAGGAGGTAATATGTGTCCTCTAAGGTTCCTCACTTTCTAATTGAAATTGCAATTTCAGGCGATATGACCATATGATTGTGTTCAGTGTTATAGCAGTGTTTTAGGGAGAAAATGTCCATCTCTTACCTTTAGTTTAGATCCTTGCGTTAGAGCAGTGGTTCCCAACCTAGGGTCTGTGACCCCCCAGGGGGTTCCCCACAGTTTTGTGTACGCTGAGTTGTGAGGTTACCAAGATTATTTTTGTAGAAGATACATTTATAAAATCCAAATAAAACACCCCATAGTACAATCAAAACCCTGTAAGAGGCATATTTCAGTCTGACTATATAAAGGTTGTAATTATTCACTTTTATTTGTGTGCGTGTGTGTTGGGGTTGGGGGGCCCTGGCTTGTCTTGGATACAGGAAAGAGGGTCCTTGTGAAAAAAGGTTGGGAACCACTGCAATGGAGTAAAAGCTTTTAATGGTTTTATTGTGTCTTGTCATTTCCTGGCAGGTTTGTAAATGTTACTGTACTTTGGGATATTTGTTCTAAACTTTGATTAGATGAAAACTATCATTCTAATTGTAATCGCCAGAAAAATTATATTTAATATGTTCCTTAAATAGTTCGGCCCGAAGAGTCCCAACAACACTAAATCCATGTAACACCTTTAAAAGGCACATTGTCTATCTCTGTGCCTTTGAAAAGAACTGAAATGACCACTAAAAACCCAAAAAACTAAATGTGTCTTGTCAACCAGGACTGGAGAGAAGAGAGTGGCCACACTTGGATGTCGGAGCTGCCTCACTGCTCTGTCCAAGTACCCCGTGGTTGAAGGGTTGGTGTACCGTCCAACCCCGCATCCTGCATGTGGTCAAAATCTGAAATTCTCATAGAAAATTTGGCGGATCATTTAAATAGTTCCTGGGATGGAGGTGGATTGGGTAACAGTGATGCTCACTCATGTTAGCGCTAATGGCAGCTTGGGGTTACGGCTTCACCGCAAATTGGTTCTGGGCTCTCGAGAGGCGGTGCAGCCCCTTGTTTGAACTTTTTACAACTTCTGTGAACTGCAGTATTTTAGGTGTCCTTATCGTTTGACGTGGCGTAATCCAAACTGACAATAGTTCTTGGACTAAATGCACCTTAAGGTCAGCAAATATTTGGTCCCTGTTGGCCCCGGCTGGGTGTTTTCCTTTGTAACTTTGTCGTACCAACGCCTTTGGGGTTAGTCTCAGGCCCCGCAGACCAACATGTTGGTGTTCTTTCTTCTTTTTTCATTTAAATCACACCTGTCTGCTCTGATGCCACAGTGATAACCTCGTGTTGAAATCTGCTCCCTGACAACGTTGGGTATTTTTTAACAGGAACAGATGTGCTGATAGTGTGTTTCTACATGTGAACACACCTCTTCCAGGAATTTTTAACACATCTTAACACAATGCTGCTTTCAATGAAACCGGGAGTCCATGCTTTGTCAATTCAAATCCGAACTGACAAAGCTCCTCGGATGAGAAGCGAAACGACTTCAAGAAACCCACGAAGTCCAATTGCCTTCATGTGAACATGAGTTCCTTTCTTAGATGAAAGAGGGTGAGCCGTACCTGAGTTGGATGGGTGGGTTTCATCACTGTGTTTTGCTCTGATTGTGAAGAATTTACTTTTGCGTACAGATAAGTTTTTAAAAAAACTAATGCCTAGTCAGGCCGTTATGTACATTAAACTCCATGACAATTTTCACTGCTAATTAGCACAAAATCTAGCTAGCTGTTACACGTTGGAATAAGAACAGAATGAGAAATGTACGGCTTCATAAAGATGAGGGTGTGTTTGTGTGTGATTGTAGTTGTCACCATTTTCACACCCTCCAAGTTTGCAGATATGAAGACTGGAAATTCACTCTCATCAGACTAGTCGTTAGCATGTCAATCTGGTCAGAACTCATCTCAGTTTCTCCAAACTAAGGTTATTCTAAGAACCTTCTAAAACCAGTGAGGTACTAATAATATATAAACCCACTTTAAAATATATGAACTTTTCCTTTAATCTTTCAACAACATTATACAGTATGTAGGATATAGGATAGGATTAGGATAAAATAAAACACATCTAGTACTTCTAGCTCATAATATTGAAGTGGAGGTTGTAGGTTCTACGTCCGTTTAAATCCTCGCTGTAAAATAAATATACACAGGGTATCCGCGGGTCCTTAAAAAGTCTTAAAAAGTCTTAAATTGGCTTTTCCAAATTTAAGGCCTTAAAAATCCTTAAAAATGACAAATAATCCTTAAATACAGTTTCCAAAGGTCTTAAATTACCAAAGGCCCACTAAACAAGATTCTTTTATCATCTTAGGTGTGTTCTTGCTGTGTCTTTCTAAATCCATGCTTTCGTTCTTTTTAAACACAGAAACAGTTTTGTTTACCTGTTTTGTAGCTACAGTTTCGCCGACGGCTGCCGGCTTCTTCAGGTTCAGCGTCAGCCTGAAGAAGCCGGCAGCCGTCGGCGAAACTGTAGCTACAAAACAGGTAAACAAAACTGTTTCTGTGTTTAAAAAGAACGAAAGCAAAGATTCTTTTATTTCTATGAAATTTTCATGAATTCCTAGTTGGTGTTCAGCGTTTTTTTGTGTGTGATGTTGGCGTAAGCGAAACCGTACACATTCAGTTGGTTGTGAAAGGGGGCTATCTTTAGATGAGCATGTTAGCTGGTTAAGCTAGTGGGAGCTTGCGCCAAGGGGAAGTGCAAGTTTAATGGTAACTGGATGGCTAATCCCACGTTCGCGACGTGGTTAGCACCGGTTCCAGGCAATAGCTGGAAATTCTAGCTTAAATTAAATTTTAAAAATAGCTTAAATTTGGTCAAAGTGGCCTTAAAAAAGGTCTTAAAAAGTCTTAAATTTGACTCCTTTAAACCTGCAGATACCCTGTATACAGGATACGTCCGGTCATTGGTAGAGTAAAACTGCTAAACTGTCACCATTGTAACCAGTTCATTGGTGTCATGTTTAACTGAAGAGGGACAGAATGATGGTTCAATATGTAGTTTTCATCCAATCACGCCAGAATAACTATCATCTGCATGTTCTGGTGTTAAAAGTCAAATATAACATAATCGTGTGGAATTTAGTGTAATAAAACAAGATGCAAGCTTTGGTGTCTAAATGGTTCTTTTCAAATTTTATTTAGCAAAACTATTCATTTAGTTGCTAAATACTGTAAAGGTAACGTTTTGAAGAGAAGACTTTAAATTGACCCATGCGAAGTAAAATAATAAAAATGTCACTATATGTAAATTTGAATACAGTTTTAAATATAACACAAACAAATATTTGTTTCTGTGTGCAGACGTTTGGATCACCAAGCTCCTTGCATTTTCTTTTAACATAAAAAAATTCATGCTTTTTCAGAAACGACTTCCTGTCTAATTAAGTGTGTTGGCACTAGAGTGGAGGAACACCCATTTCCCCTTCAGTGTGCGGAGCATCACTTCAGAGCAGATTGAAGCGTTTCTTCATTCCTTTGGAGTTATTAACCGGCATTAAATCTCTCCACAGGCGTATCACGCCCGGCAACAGGAAACCACCAAGCTCAACAGGAAGTACAGCCTGACTGAGAGGTGAGACTCCCTCCTTTGGTATCTTCATTTAACATATTTATGTGAGGAATGGATCTGATGCATGTTTGAGAGTGTTTCCGGAGTCGTGAGGCGGATCGGCTCATTGTGCGTCGGAGGAAACCCCGCTCAGTCATGCCTGGCTGGGATTAGAGCGTAATGAGCTGTAAGTGTCTGGAACAATCATCCATGCTCAGTATCAGACCATAATGGATGGGTGCAAGTGTGTGTGTGTGTGTTGAGGGGGTGTTTAGGACACGCATGGCTTATAAAAGGGTTCTTTTCTCATATCTGACTTGGGATGAAACAGGTCAGTGAGCGTGGAAGGCAAAAGGGAAACATTTAACCACTTGTGCTGTAGTTAGTGTTTGGGGCTTGCCTTTAATCTGACAGGTTTCACCAGAAAATCTACATCCAAATGACCCATTTCACTTATTTTTGCTTTGTTCTTATAATATTTTAAAGGGAAAACAAAGTAGCAATCGTGTGGACACAAAAACTCAACAAAACTGCCTGATGCGCTTGAGTCAGTGAGAACTTCAGCAGTTCCACCTGTATCTGGTGACCGCGCTGTTTAAAAGCTACAAGTCCAACAGATACGGTAGCGGGGGGGGGGGGGGGGGGGGGGGATGGAGATTTTTACACCATAGAGACGAAATCTATTGTTGTTTAATTTAGACTCTGATTTCTAAATATCATTAGTGTTATATTAGGGGTGTGTGATGGCACGAATCTGGCGATGCGATAAATACAACACAGGGAGACTCTACCACATATTGTGATACTGAAAGTCGGATAATAAACTGAATTTTTGAAATATGAGTTCATAGGAAAACTCAGGCCAGACACTTCCAAGACACTTTCAGTGTTTTCACAAAATCTCGCTGTTCCATCTCAATGAAGGTGGTAAAAACTGCTGCCACCTAGCTGTCAGAGTTTGAATTACACCAAATGTTTGTATGTGAATTTACAATAAAAATTGATACATTTCTTTTAAATATCAGTTCAATATCATTACATGAAATATTGTGATATTTCAATGTATCAAACTTTTTCCTACATCCTTATAGACCCCTTGACGCATGACGTCACGCGCTCAAGATCCCGCCCTCAGTTTTTGGCTAGGTGGCAAGAAGACGGCGCATCCCCATAATCTGTCGGTTGCTGATAAATTTAGCTATTTTGCGCAAAACTAAATTTATCAGCATGGTTAATTTGCACAAAGATGTGTTAGATGATCTAAAGTAGTAATATCTAAATCCCTAGATTTTATTTTGTTAGCTTAAATCGCAGATACAGCTCTGGACAGTGCAGGGATTAAAGTTCTCCATCGTGGTGATGGAAATCCGTCTAACAGAGCCAATAAACTCTGATATCACAATGAGAGTTAACGTGATGAGCAGAACCAGGACCCAAATTCCCAGTGGGCCGATCCGAGGTCGGTGTTTTTAGTCGTCTCTTTGTTTTTTTCGGGCCGGTGTTCAGTCATGACGCTCTGCTGATCACCTACCTGCTGATGAGACGATTTCTCCTGTCAGTGGAGCAGGTGAGCTGCTGAACAAGCGTTCGTTCCTAGAAACACTTTCTATGCCCAGACTATAGTGACCTGTTATTTATAATTTTGTAATTAATATTAAGTGAATGCACTAAACCCACAAATGATAGAAGATAAGATTAAATATTAATAATCATATTACTATCAAATGTTAATAAGTATAACAGATAACTAATCTTAAAGAAAAAATTATATTAATATTTTTTAATTCCAATATTGATTATATTTCATTTCTAGGGTTCGGATGTCTGTGAACAAGAATATTCAGACTGGTGTAAAGAACATGATGTTATTAATAACAGGTCATGATCCAAAGCTGGTCTGAGGTATAAAACTCTGCCCCGTGCCTAAAGCCCTGCAGATATATTTAGTTTCTATAAACACCAACAACAAATAAATAACAGCAGCTGGATTCTACCTTGAGTCACTTAGTTTTGCAAGTTCTGCAGCTCACACGTTCACCATGGAGCTCTGGCAGCTGATTGGTTCTTTTGGTATCTAGTGCAGTTCTGGTACTGAGCAGCATGGATGCATCAGCGGATTTCACTGTAGTCTGTGTTCATAATGGATTAAGAAAGGACAGGAAAACATTGTTAACTCAAATATATCATTATAATGAACATGTATAGATACTTTATCATACACACCTACCAGCCTGTAACTCTACTTTTCCCCCAATAAATGCACCAGACTGATGCGTTTAAATATTAAATGTCCAATCATTTTTTTCCAGGGGGGCATGTCCCCGACCCCCCTAGAGTACTTTAATACTTATCATCTTTTTTACCTCAGAGAAATCTCAACACCCACACTTTTAAACACTGTATGTGAACGGGTTATTCCAGAATTTTCAGAAACAAGAATACTGACCTTAAAACCAATCAAAACCTGAATAGTGGCTGCATGTAAACAGTGTGAGCCCCCCCCCCTCCCCACACACACACAATAATTTTCAGTCAGATGAGAATTTTTTGCTTCAATCCCTGGGATCGTGGCCGTAGAGGGGCTTTTTGCCTTCCGTTATGTGGATGTGCGTTATTACCCAGATGTAAATGGTTACCTTCAAGGGATCTGTAATATACTACGGAATTTATGATATAATATCAATTGTACACCGTTCTAAGGGAATTGTGTACCAGTGAGTTCCGTTAGAGGCTAACAGCTATGTAGCCTGTTGTGGTCCATGAAGGTGTGTTCATGAGCCTTTCCTGTTCTCCATTATCCTTGCTGTTGTAACAGGTGGCTATGAGTGCGCACATATGTTTGATAAAACGTCTTAAATGTGAGACAACCATCATTATTATCCCCACAGGGTCAGCTATCTCCAAACTGAGACATGTTTTCTTTTAAATTATATTCAAAATAAGATACAAAATTCACATGCTTAACTAAAATTGATCATTTTATACATTTTCATAACATTTAAAAGTCATTAAAACAACACGCTGTCTCGTAAACATGCAACGGACCTAATGTTGGTGGCGTCGTGTTTTCATCCTGCTGACTATAACCAGTTTGTGATGTGTTTGTTTCTGAGAGTAGGTCTTCAGTAAAGCTGCTGGCTCTCTTTGCGTAATCATCTCGGTCTTTAAGAGTTTATTCTACACATTTTTTAAATACAGTGAAAATATCGTTAACTGTTCAGTACCCTGTTCAGCCCTAGTTAGTTGTCTGTAAACTAACATGTTTAAGGACTGTTTTTGTGTTTCCTTCAACCAGAGACTACCCAAGTTGGAGGCAGGAGTCCAGGGCGCCTCAAAACATCCGTCAGCAGCAGCATCACCTCCATCAGGCTCAGTGGGACTGCAGGCGGAGCGACAACAGTAACGATGACCTAAACGCTTACTCCTCCACTCCACCGCCGGCTCCTCTTTTCCTTCGAGGACGAGCCATGTCTGAAAATGACATCCGCTTCGAAAGCAGCCTCCGCTGGTCACCGTCCCTTTCCTCCGCCGCCAGTCAGACCCTTAGCGAGGTGGAGGAGGGAGGACGAGTGCCAAGCATCACCCATCAGGGCAAGAAGAAAACACCTCCTCCACTGAGACCACCGCCTCCCAAGTGGGAGCAGTTCCACCGCCGCCGGGCATCTCACCACACCCTCTTTTCCTCTTCTTCTGCTGCTGCTCCTCACTCCATTCCGGCTTCCTTTAACACCCCTGAGACGCATTCCTCCTCCTATGTCCCTCCACCTGAAACATCCCGCCAGAGGTCCTACAGTCTTCCTCCAGAGAGGCAGGAAGTGGTGGAGGTCTGCCCTCGATGCAGCTGCAAGCAGACTCAAACCCAAGAGCTCGCGTACTCTCATGGTTTGTCCAATCAGAATCTAGCTCAGTTCCAGGAACACCCTTTATCTGTGGCTCCGCCCAGTCCGATGTTCTTCAGGAAGGCTTTTAGACCGGTGGCGCCGCCCTATATGGAGAGGGAGGAAGAAGTGAGATTGGAGGCTCCACTGGTGGAAAGTTCTGTGAGCAGGTGAGCTAGCTTTTAGCTCAGTTACAGAAAACTAAAAGCCAGCATGTGTTTGCAACAGTGTTGTGCTAGTTACTAGAAAAAAGTAACAAGTTACAGTTACTTGTTACCTTGTCCAAAAGTAACTCAGTGACGTTGTTGATTACTTACACAAAAAAGTAATGGATTACTGTTTAAATGACTAGTTACTTGTTTAGAAAAACCTTCTTAAAGGGACAATGTGTAGTTTTTATCATTAATCTCTGGAAATATCCATCAAAATGTTGTTGAAAATGAATGAAATGATGCCCAGTTGTTAAAAAATATTGGCGGCTTCTTAACGTATAAGGTCTAAAATACGTGGGAGCGGGTCTAAGTAATATGGTGACGCCATATTAGATGCCATGTTTCCTGCTATGGGAGCCTGTGAGGACAAAATGCATTTACTTATTTGTAACAAATGATTACAAAACTTTCACCATTCATACACATTGTTGATTTTTTGCACATTTACCTCTTTACTCTTTGCCAGTGATGAAAGGTAGTCTAATGTGCTCATCATTTTGCTGAAGTTTGCACTCCCCAGGGCTTTTTGACCCTAATAGGGACCCATTGGTAAGGTCTTACTCCAACACAAAAATACAGCTTGCTTGCAACAGTTTAGGTATCTCCTGCCCCCTATCGCCAGAGAACATACACACTGTCACTAAAAATGTCATTATAACCTAATTTCATTGTACAAATTTTAAAATAAAATCAGATGCAAAGTAATTTTTATCACTGTTTTATTTAAGAGAGACTATAAAATTACTTTTAAAATTATTTAAATAACAACTACAAAAAAACACAACTTATCTAAAATGTAATTTATGAACAATGATAAAAGCTGTATACAACCATGTGACCTTTGACTAACTGGTACAGCGTAAGTGTGCGATTGATGGGACAAAACCAAAACTTTATTCTACAAAAAGGAATTTTGTTAGTACGTTGTTACTGTACTGTTGCATCCTGTGGGTCGGTAGAGTGCTGTGTTTCGTAGGCTAAACTTCTCCTTTGATAAACAAAATAAAAATGAGTGACATCTGCTCATTAGCATTGTGCCAGTTCACTATTTAATCCAATAATGGTGATGTGAAACGTGCCAAATTGATAGCAGTTCATAAGTCTTCTAAACTGACTATTTTTCATTAAAATTAGGTGACAGGAGTATAAGAGTCTAGCGTGTCCCCTGGAGGAAACACGATGACAGCAGCTACAGAATTGATATTTAAAAGCAGTGTATCGATTTTTTATAGAGAATTTACGGTGTTCCTTTTGTGTGGTGCCATTCAAGCTCCAGCTGCTAGGTGGCAGCCGTTCTCGCTATAACCCTGGGTGTGTGGTGGAGGCGTCTGGCCTGAAATTTCCTATTAAAATCTGTCCTGGAAAATTTAAATAGCGTCTGGCTTTTAGTAGTAATACATCGCCTCTGCTGTGTTGTGGTAAATATCCTATCGCCAGGTTCTTGCCATTGCACACCCTTAATATTAATAATTTGCTGTCTCTGCAGTTCACATGTGACAGAGGTGGTCCACAATCAGGACAGAGTACCAGTGAAACCACACAAACCACAGCCCACCGTGAGGCCTGGAGCCCAGTGGGAGAGAACTTCATCTCCCAGAGTTCATAGCAACGCTTCACCGTCCAGCATCTTAGAAAACGGTAGTCGTCCTGCTGAGACGTGCGTCAGTCCAGCGATGTTGGAGCAGCAGAAGAAAGTCTCCGAGCCCGGAACGGAATCTGAGGCCACCCTGAGCCCAAGCCCCGTCCACAGCCTGGACCTGAACCTCCCCCTGGAAACAGACATCGATGACTTCCAGGAAGAGGAGCTCCCGACGCGGGACGTCCCCATCACCAGTGAGCTCCCGTGCTTCGCTCAACCCGTCACCATCCTGGAGACGGACATCGACACAGTGCCGGACGCTGAGGTGGCGCCGTTGGGGATGGAGAGCAGTGAACTGGAGGAGGAGCTAGGGAGTAGAGAGAGGCTGAGCCTGGAGGAGCTTTTCCCCCAGTGTGGTGAGAGGGAGTCGGGCACGGAGAGCTGGAGAGGATCCTTCCTACCTGTGGAGCAGAACACAGACAGCCTGGACAGGTCAGAGTTAAAGTGTGGTTATTTACACTTTTCTATCCTAAACTGACCTCCGAGCTGATTTTTCTCCTCAGATGTTCTGGTGCGAGCTCCAGCTGCTCCTCCTATTACCAGACATCTGCAGCCAAGGCCCAGCTCTTGTCTCAGATGAAGGACTTCACAGAGAGCCGGGAGCGGGACGAGGACGACGAGCTGACATACAAGGTTAGAAACATCCAGATGTTCATAATGCTGCTTCGTGTTTTTGCTGTGTTTAAAAACTGTGGCTGCACAGAAACAGCTGATGGAGAGCCTCAGGAAGAAGCTGGGAGTGCTGAGAGAAGCTCAGAGGGGCCTGCAGGAGGACACCAGAGCCAACTCACAGCTGGGAGACGAGGTGGACATGCTCTCCATGTGGTTTTCTTTGTGGTGTAGGGATCAGAGCTCTTGACTCTGTTGGTGAAACTCCTCAGGTGGAGAGCATGGTGGTGTCGGTGTGTAAGCCCAACGAGGTGGACAAGTACCGCATGTTCATCGGTGACCTGGACAAGGTGGTCAGCCTGATGCTGTCTCTGTCTGGGAGGCTGCTGAGGGTGGAGACCACACTGGACACACTGGACCCAGAGGCAGATCACCATGAGAGGGTGAGACGGTCGGAGTCAGAAGGGGTTTACTGCCATATTGCTGCGGTACTTGGTGCAGGAAAAAAATAAATGATGTGCAAACATTATACTAAATAAATAAACAAAAGGAAGTGATAATAACATAGGGAGACAATAACTAAAGATGTCGCTACTATATGCTAGTCAGTGCAGGTACTGGTCAGAGCGGGTCATAAAAGGAGGAATAAAAATTCGTGTTTTGCCTGCCCTGCAGCTCCCCCTGTTGGAGAAGAAGCACCAGCTCTTGAGGCAGCTGTCCGAGGCTCAGGACCTGAAGGACCATGTGGACCGCAGAGAGCAGGTCGTCAGCCGGGTTCTGGCCCGCTGCTTCACTCCAGAGCAGCACAGAGATTACTGGTACCTCATCTCAGCAAGGATTATGTGTTTTATTACCAATCCCACTTAAAAAACACTTTTTCCTCTTTCCTCTGCAGCCACTATGTGAAGATGAAGGCGGCCTTGCTTGTGGAGCAGAAGCAGCTGGAGGACAAGATTCGTCTTGGCGAGGAGCAGCTGAGGGGGCTGAGGGAGAGCCTGGGGCTGGGGCTGGGAATCGGCATGGGAATGTCCATGGGATACGGACATTATTAACATCAAAAGCACGTTGTCACGTTCGGTCGGAGTAACCTGGTATAGAAGTTGGAAAGCAAACAGGCAGATAAAACATTTGCACATCATTTTAAGAAAACTGACAGGTTTAGAGATGTATGGGAAAACACTCAGAGACAGAAGTAGAGGTGAGTCCCACAGAGGAGTGGGATTACCTGTAATTATCCCCATCAAAGCAGATTAAGGGTGATGTTGCCTGTACTGTATAACCACACCGCCACTGCACACCTGTAAACGCAAAAGCCAAAGATTCTGTTCTCCATGTTTAAACCTCCCAGTTCAGAGAACTGTAGGAGTGTTTTGGTGCTTCCGTTAACCACGCTAAAGCTGATGTTTGCAGCTTCGGTAACTGCTAAACCTGCATCCTGCTGCACGTTAACCGTTATATCCTGTTGTATCGCGTTGTGTTGTATGTCTGTCCTGTTCAGGACCATATTTGTGTGGAGTTTGACACTCCGTTGGTTAACTGTCACATAATGATCATTGTGTACAGAAGACTCTAGTGTTTATTGTGTAAATGGTTTGTATATAGTGTTGTTATCCTTTATAAAGACTGGAATTAAAGATTGAAAAGAGAAGACCTGGAACAGGTGGGTGTTACTGTATATGTTGAAGGTAAATGAGTCCAGAAAAGTTTGGTTTGTTCAAATTATTATTTTTTTGTCATCCCTAAATATATCTTCAGGTAATGAGTCTTGGTCAGAAAAATCAGTAAATGTTGGTAATTCTGGAGTGGGGAACATACAAAACAAACATAAATGCTCTAAAACTTTGCTTAAATTTAGAAATATCTGTTTTTAAAAACTCCCAGCTAGCTTGTGTTGTTAGCTGAAATTTTTATGCTACATAGCTGTTTTATTTTTTAGGAAGTCAGTTTTAGCATAACAAAAAGCTACATAGCATTTCCGGTCTTTAAAGCTGCAGGTTGGTGGATTTTTACTTTAGCTTTGCAGACAAGCTAGCAGGTTGCCACCCATTTCCAGTCTGTGCATATGCTAGCATACTAAAATAACTTCAAATTTTAGACTTCTAGATGGAATTCGGTTGAGCTACAAAGGATGCTAGCATGCTAATTTTTGTTTTAAATGTAAGTGAAAATGTGACTGTTTATGCTAGGGATGCACAGTATATTGGCCATAACAGTGACATCGGACATGTTAGTTTTTTTTTATGTGTCAAAATAGGTTTGATAAGTAAAACAGGGCATGTGTGTGCATGTGTGTATATATGTACATATATATATATATATATATATATATATATATATATATATATATATATATATATACACACACACATATATATATATTTTTCAAATGAATGTATGAGTGTATGCACATATAAATACAAATGATAAATTGGATATCTATATTGGCCTAATTTTACATCATGGTGCATCCCTAGTTTTTGCTTTTGACTCACTGTGTAACAAAATAAAAGTCTACAGCCCAAATTTTAGTTACTTCCCGCCAAAATCCCCCTCGTACATTCTAAATAGCTTTTACTGCAGCTCTACTTTTTCCAAAGTTTACTAGACAGTCTTAAAACATTTCATATCTGTCTGACATAAATTAAATCCCCGACATGTTTTTTTATTCACTTCTATGCAGACGATTCCTGCTGATTTTTCTTCTGAGCGACTCTTAACACAGGAAGTTCCACTTGTTTTTACTGTGTATATACTGAATGTACTTTTGTGCCAAAACAGCCCTTTTCCAAACCGGTTGGAAATAAAAATGAAAAGGACAGAGGTTGGTTGCCTGTTGGACCTGTAAGAGAGAGTATATTGTTCCGTTCATGTGTAATTTTGATTTATTACGTAAACATTTTTTGTTACCGTGTGAGAAAGAAGTACCATAAGTAATAATAATAGTATTTTAAACAAGCATCATGTCTCCTGTGATGATTTATGCTCTCATGGGCCTCTTTAGTTTCTGTCGCCGACATGTGGGCCCTCCTTCGGGGGAGGGGGAAACTGCTGTTTGAATGTGGTGGGATGGTTGGGTAAACATGGCCGACGGGTAAATGGAGGTTGACAGAAGACAAGTGGAGTGCAGGGAGTCAATCAGCAGCTCTGTGGGAGCTGTAGAGCTTTCCTCAAGAGAAACGCTTAAGAGAGCGTTATGGCTCAGTCTGTATTATAAATGGTTCTGTCAGGTTCTGGGCTTCCTGAAGCCTGGGGACTTAGAAACATGATGTTGGAGGCCGAGCAGCACTAGAGAGCAATCTCAAGTCTTTTATTGTGAAAGTGAAGACTAATCGTTTCTCACAACTTTGAGTTGTTCATTGCCTCCATCTCTAACAGGAAGTTAAAGCAACCAATCAAAAATGGTGAAAACATGACCTCATGTGGCTTTTTTCATGTAAAATTACACTGAACTGTGTTTGGAGTGTCTTTATTAAATAAAATATTACACTAGGGCTGTGTCCAAATTCAGGGGCTGCATCCTTCAAAGGACTATACCCACATTTAAAACTGTTACACTCAACGCTCCCGCAATAAATCTTATTAGCTGTTCGCGCTGAGCTGACCATTTTTTTCAAACCTGCTCCCCGGCAGTCTGCTCAGTGCTGAGCCCACCCAACACACCTGCTACAGACTGGTCAGCTGAAGTTCACCCCTACCTAGTGGGAGCCTTTGATTGGTGGATAGAGTCAGCCAGCGGCAGCAGGGTCCCCCTCATGCGATTCATTATCAAACTAGATGCAGAGGGGTAAACATCTTCTCTATATGCAGCTCAGACCGGCTGCTCCAGCTGCAGGAGAATGAGGACAGACCGTGTGCTGTGAGTGCTCTTGGATAGAAGAGGAGCCCACGGCTCAGTTAGAGAGCAGGAAGCTGTGTGCTTCATGTTAGAGTCCGAAAAGAACACAAACTTTTCTGCCCCGCCCATGTGCTCAGAGACATCCACCTTTCTGAGAATACTGCGTAAATAAAACCTGGCCGCACGGGGACGAGCTGACCCAACCAAAACCAGATCGACCCGACCCAGATGTAAAAGTGGCTAAATTAATTGTTGAGTAAAAAACTGAAAGAACCAAAGTCAAATAGATGTAGAACAACAAGTATCTGCAAAGAACTATATGATGAAATAGAAGATTTAAAAGCTAACGCGAACAAAACAGCATAAAATATGCCAACTTTCCTCTAAAGGAATCAAACCAAAGCAAATGCAAAATAAAGAGAAAAACAATCGTTGTTTAAAAGACACAGAAGACTTTTAACAGCTGTTTATGTTTCTCCTGTGTGGAAGGGGTAGGGTTTGAGGATCCAGGGGCACTTGAGGTGCCCTGGCTCACATTTTTGTTCTATCTGCCCATATCTGGATGTAAACATGAATTCACTTTATTTGTTTATGTTTATGTTTATGTATTTAGCAGAAGCTTTTGTCCAAAGCAACTTACAAGTGATAATCGGCATGTTGCCTTTGAGGCTAACAACAACAACTTGACATCAATCATGGAGAGTAGGGAACAGTGGACAGTAGAGAGGGGGGACGGGTGCAGGCAAGGTGCTAAGAGCAGGGTCTTCAGGAGTTTCTTGAAAATTGAAAAGGAAGCCCCTGTTCTGGTAGTGCTTGGTAGGTCATTCCACATTTGTGGAACAATGCATGAGAAGAGTCTGGATTGTCCTGTAGGCACTGCTAGCCGACGATCCTGAGATGACCGGAGCAGCCGGGCCGAGACGCAAGTCTTTGCAAGAGGATTCAGGTGGGAGCCGTACCATCTTGGACTATGTATGCTAGGGTTAGCTATTTGAATTTGATGCGTGCTGCTAGCAGTAGCCAATGGAGCTCAATGTTTTAGTTTTAGTTCCTATCACTGAAAAAAAATGAAAGGATCACCACAATGATCTTTTTACTGTCTTGACTTGGCTCACATTTCCTTTCAGGTGATACTGCCGTCTGTTGCAGGGGAAGCGGTGGAAAAGGAATGATTCCCTCTGGGGAAGATTAACAGCATCAAACTGCTGAATAGGCAAGGAATCAGCGTTTTTTTTTCCAGAAAGGGGGGGGGGGGCATTCCTTCAGCGGGAGAAAAAAGGAGAAGAGAGGAGATTTTCAACAAGAGCAGTTTCAACTGATGGAGCAAGGTTGCTTTTTATTTTGAGTGAGTCAGTCTAGAAAAGAGATAGGAAGTGAAGTTAAATGTTGCTTAATTGAAAAATCACGGAGGCACGGTTCCCAGAGGTTGCCAAGGAGACCGCGATGTTTTCTGCGGTTTGCCCTTTTCATCAACTGCTCAAAAATATGTCTCATCAGTTCTACGGTTGACCACCAGGTGTCACCCTGTGACATGAACTCTCCTGGTTAAAACAACACGAGTGGTTTGATTCACGTAGGGCGGAAACACAAAAACACAAAAATATGAGAGGATTTCGAAAAGACGACAAAATGTTTGTGGTTCCCAGTTTTCTCGTGTGGGTGGAAATTTAAACTTGTTGGAAGAAATTATTTCTAGTCACATACTTTGATCCATGTGTAACATTATTTTTGTGTAATTCCATAAATTAAGCAAACTTGACAACATGGCTGTTTAACATAGACTGAAATTGATTCTTTTCTCAGGTTTGCAAATTTGTCCTGCCAAATATGGTTAAATGTGGAGAGATTATACAGCTTTTAGATGTCTTTGAATTTTTCATATTTTTACCTAAATAGCAGATAATTTTATTCAAATCAACCTAAAATTACAAATAAAGCAATGTGGTGAATTGACCTAACATGCATGTTTTTGGTTTGTGGGCGGAAACCACTCAATTTTTTCCCGAGCACAGCCTGCTGCAACTCACCACTTCCCACAGGGATGGGTCACATGCAGAAATGTAAGTTCACCAGTGTTTTCCATCGCCTGGTCTGGAACGGTCGGGTCTGGGTATTATGGACCGGCATGTTCCGATATGGGCCTAGAAGTTTTCTGGCAAGTGTTTCTATTGCTTGGGACTTTGACATTAAAACAGAGCACCCAGAGAAAACATGTATGGGGAACACCATGGACAGAAAGGCAACAGCCAGGTTTTGAACCTACAACCTTCTGTGCTACCAGCTGTGAATGAAGCCACCATGAATGCAAAGACAATAATGAAAAACAACTGCAGTAGCAGATGCTAATAAGCTTATTTAAGCAGTAGCTTGAAGCTAAAAAAAATTGTGAATGTTTAGCTATCATGTTGTAATCATTGTCTATATATATATACAAGGGCGTCAGTTTGTTTTCAGAATTGCTGGGGACAATAACCATACACTTGAGTGGGGTTTAAAAATTGCTGGGGACAATAAAGTAGGCTAGCACAGGGGTCGGCGGCTCTGGAGCCGCATGCGGCTCTTCCATCCATCTGATGCGGCTCTCTGTGTTTGTAAAATAATGAATGGATATTTAAATAAAATGCTTTATATTTTACTGCATTAATTTTACATCTGTAAGCCAATTCTAAATGTAAAGATTGTCTGCGTAAACCTGAACAGGTCCAACCCGGTCTTACTGTGAGACCGGGTTGACGCGTCACGCTTGTGCGTAATCATATGCGCTTCCTGAGCTGGAGGATGTCAGATTCTGGGCTTCTCCTCAGACGGCTCCTGGATGCGTCGCCACATTGGAGACAGGAACAAGCACTCTTCAGCCAAAGTTTCATAATCAGGTCTGGCAGTGTGAGTGTCCTGTCACAGTGTCCCGATAGATAATGCGCCCTGGCTCCTCGGCCAAGGGGTTGTCCCTTTGGCTGACTGGTTAGAGCGTATGACTCTCACCCGGGACTCTGGGGATCGAATCCCGCCCGGGCCTTCATTTCTCCACCTTGCCACATATTGACCGATAAACTCAAGGATGTTGGTCTTTTTGAAAGAATTACCCCGACGCACACTGATGCGCATGGATGAGCTGACATTTTAATCGTTAACACACATCGCGGAGGTAACTTGATTCCCATCAGAACATCAGAGCTTTATACTGGACACTGTGTTCAGCACGGCTCGGAGCGCCCACGGTGGACAGTGGGCTGAAGATCTGAGGGGTTCGCAGCGCAGTGCAGAACCACGGTGCATGCGATGATTTCCTCCCACTGAAGCGGTCTGGAAACCCGGTCTCTCTGAGGGATGTCACTTGGAAAAATGTTCTTTTTATGAAATTATGAAACTTTGGCTGAACAGCGCTTGTTCTTGTCTCTAATATGGAGACGCATGACGCATCCAGTCTGAGGCAGAATAGCTCTTCAGCTTAGAAAGCTCCTGTAGAGACATTTGATCACGCACAAAGTTTATGTGGAGCAGAAGCGGTCGGGCCACGGCAGGTGAAATGTTCCTAGTCTACATGAAGTGTAACATTAATATGTTACTGGACACGCTGGTCTGGTTGGTTAGACCAGTGTTTGAAGTGGAAAACACACACACACAGACACACACACACACACACACACACCAATTAAAATAATGATGATAGCGTGGACTAGAAGCCAGGTGATGGTTTATGTATTTAAATGATGATCAGGCTGCTGTAAAATGAAATCTCCATCCACATCCAGACACAATTATCCTCTATTCTTTCTCTATTTGCTCTGCTCTTGTCTGGGCTGACGTAGCTGACGGTGCGCGCGGCGCGCCTAACTAGCGGCTGAAGCACATTTTACGCATTTGGAGAGATGGGCTGGATGCTCTGCTTTTACTGGAAGATGGTCCACTTAACGCACGGGTGTAGACTACATATTAATGACGAATGAATGAAAATTAAACTGGGAGTTTTTACTTCATATTTTATAAATTAAAATGACGGGGGAACACATTTATGACGTCTTTTTAAACTAAATTTTCTAGCGCGACCTGCCTGCTTCACTTAAGTCACTGTTTATTAAGGTCCGTCCAAAATTACCGTGGCCCAAACCTCTGCAAATGGT